GTGTGTGTGGGTGAGAGAGAGAGCTAGATCTCTCTCTCTCTCTCTCTCTCTCTCTCTCACTCTCTCTCTCTCTCTCTCTCTCTCTCTCTCTCTCTCTCTCTCTCTCTCTCTCACTCACACACACATATATATATATATATATATATATATATATATATTTATTAAAAAAGTAAAAAAGTAAATAACTATCCATATACACGCACACACACATACACGCACACACACACACGTTTATATATATATATATATATATATATATATATATATATATATATATATATATATATATATATATATATAAAAAAAATATATATATTTATATATTTTTGTTTTTTATATATATATATATATATATATATATATATATATATATATATATATATATATATATATATATATATATATATATATATATATATATATATATATATATATATATATATATAGCTTTAATAATATTATTATTATTGTTAACTATTCTGGCCAAATATTTATTACAATTAAACAAGTATACAAGTATAATTTGTATTATAATTTTTATAATAATAATAACTTTTATAAACCCATAGTAGTTATATTATTAGTAAACATTTATAATTTTCATAACAAGCATCAGAGTGTTCATGGATATAGTCTGTGTATTATAAGCAGAATTATTTTATTAATAATAATAATAATAATAATATTAATACATTTATATATCTACATATTATATATTTGTAACTGTAAATCTGTCTTTGTTTATAGGCATATGCTATGATGCTGTCTCTAGCCGATAAGGATCCACTTCATTCGTCTACCCATAATGCCCCAATGTGGCACAGTTTGGCCCGTGCTGCAGAACCCAGCGCCATTCAATCTCTCAGTCACGTATGACACCCTGACGGGACTTAACATTCTGCTACACGACAGCCAGAGACGCTGGTCCACAAACACACCGCACAAGAGACAAGTGCCCGAATCCATGTAACACACACACACACACACACACACACCTTCCCCATAAACATGAACAAATCATTGATCAAGTAGGAATGACAGTAGTGTTTGATGGTGATGATGAAGACGATGACAATATTAGTAAATTCGTAATAATAGTTGTATTTATTCTGTCCAGTTCCAGTGTTTTGCACAGCAGTGGCAGCTGGTGAACCGTTTTTGAAACATTGGTGTTTGTGAGTTTTGTCCGATGTTACTGAGAGTAACACATCAGAGTCTTCCACAAGACAAAATGTGATCGCAGAACTATTCAGGCACAAATTGCCTGCCGGCCTGTAAATATACTGAACATTAATGACATCACACACACGCGAATGCAAATACCGACAAATCAACCAAGTAAACATTTCAACAGTTTTTTTTTCTGGTCTTGTGCACAAACGTATAAACACAAGAGGTCGTTGGTGTTTCTCTTTGAAGTGAATTTATAAACCGATAAAAGGTGTGACCTTTAAACCTCTCACTGACGCTGCTTGTAAAAATAAAAAAACGAAAAATACGGTGTAAAGGAGCGAGAAAGTGACTCTTTCAGGTTCTGTCCAATTAAAGCACTGCATTACCTTCAACCCACTTTCAAGCCCGTTTGTGCGATAACTATGGAGCCAGATCAGTCTCAAAAATAATACATTTATAATTTATAATACATCCATCCACAATGCAATTCGCATTTACAAAATCCAATTCGTAAACTCAAAACACGATTAAGAAATACACAAATCCAATTAGTCATCTCAAAAATACACATCCAGTTCGTCAATTCAAAACACAAATCCTAATTACACAAATTCAATTTGTCAATTCAAAACACAATTCATAAATACGCAAATCCAATTAGAAAATTCGAAACAGGATTCAAAAATACACAAATCTATTTCTTGAATTCCAAAATACACAAATCCATTTTTTCAATTTAAAAATACACAAATCCAATTCATAAATTCAAAACACGAAATCAAAAACACAAATTCAATTTATAAATTCAAAACACGAATCCTAAATACACAAATACAATTCGTAAATTCAAAACACAATTAAAAAATACACAAATCCAATGCGTAAATTCAAAACACGAATCCTAAATACACAACTCCAATTTGTAAATTCAAAACATGAATCCCAAACACATATCCAATTTGTAAATTCAAAAATACACAAATCACAAATGCGTAAATTCGAAACACAAATTCTAAATACACAGTCAATATTTAATTGAAAACACGATTCCTAAATGTGAAATTACAAATAATTTGTTTTGTATTTATATATTGTGTTTTAAATATACAAATTGGATTTTGTAACTGTGAATTTTGCTGTGCACGTATGAATTTTATTTCATAAGTGTACTATTTCTGAGACTGATCTGGCTCCATTGTAAACAGACACTCTTTTTAGTTAGTTGTAAAAAAAAAACTGCTAGTAAACTTTTTTTTTCTAAATTAAAAAAAAAAATAGAATCTGAATCTGTAGAAATTGCGTTAAAGGGCATTCTATCATTTCCACGGTAACCTTCTTCCATTAGTTGGCGAATGATACCACTAAGTAGCCTGAATTTTAGTCTTTAGCTACACCGTCCTTGTGTGTCTTTCATTTATAGACAATCATGGGTTCCTTTTTTTCCTTGTCATTTTTGTTTTGTCTTTTTTTCCTTTGGTTGATGTCGTCAATGTTATTGCTGTGTATCTTGAAAGTTGTATTTATTTCTTTGCAAACTGTAGTTTGTTTACTGAATAGCACTGCTCTCAAAGCGCCCCCTTGTGTCCGAAATGAAGAATTTCTCACTGAAATGTTTTTCGGGGGAAAGAGACTCTACTGGGGTTTGTAGAAACGTCTGAATGCCAGATAGTATTAAACGTACCATCACAGCTTATACTTCTAATTAAAAACTGGTAAATGATATAGATATTACGTAGGGTTTTTTTTTTTTTTTGTATGACAGTTTATTGATTCAACTGTAAAATAGAAAAAAATGAGAAAAAAAGGAAAGAAGAATAAAAACAGCTGATATAATTTCTTCATCAAACAAACGCATGATTGGTCCAAGCTGTACCTGACATTTTCTATGGTTGTCTGCAAGCTTGTGTGACGTTCGGGTCCATGTTGATTTCTTGTGCCAAACCTATGAGAAATGCCAGATTTTGTTTCTCCTCACAGGGGAAGGGGGGTGTGAAGGACCAGATCTTTCCTATTTCACTTTGTTTGTTATTTTTGTCGATGTTTATAATCCCATTTTTAAAAGTAATCAGTGAGTTGAGGTACTTCTGTTTTAATGCTTTCTACAATGTAACTGTATTGCATTATAATTCAATACTGTGGGAGGAGTTACTGAGAAATAAAAACTCCTATGTGGGCGAACTGTGCACTCTCACACTGTGTGTGACTTCCTCTTTCTCTGTGTCTTCATCTCTTGAGGTGGACTCGCTCAAATAACATGTGAAGGTTACATTTCACCCTAAAATCCATGATTGTAATTACTGTAATGCGTTTTGTGAAGAAAAAAAGCCTCAATCTTAATTATTATTGATTTTCTTAACATAAAATTATACAATTCAATCATACAATATTAGTTGTTTCAATTTAATAGATACATAGTTTACTGTAATAATTACATATATTGTAGTTATTGCATAAAATAGCTATTTGTGAATTATTGTAACGAGTCAGGTTGCAACAGAAATGAGGATCCAAATGCAGTTTATGAAAAGAATCATCAAGCAGGCAACGGTCAAAACAGGGACAGACAGAAGCATGCAGATAATCCAAAATCGTAGTCAGAGTACAGGTGAATGGTCGGGACAGGGGGCAAAAATAACTGTTAAAAAACAAGGCAAGGAAACACTTCGTAATGCTTACAGTTTAACAAGACTCAGCAATGTGAGTGTGAAATGCAGTGTGTATATACAGTCCATGTAATCATTCAATGATAAACTTCAGCTGTGTGTGTGTGTGTGATGCTGCGGTCACACAGCATGCAAAACCCTGTCGTACAGTGCTGCGAAAAGGGGCAGGATTAAACAAGATGATTAGACATTTTAAAAAGCGAGCGATTGGTTTTTATTTTAAATTTCTGTCCAGAGAGGTCATGTTTTGATCTTCGATTGGTCTCAGGCAGTCATGTGATGTGAATTAGTACGAGCTTGCGTTTCCGGTCTGTCGCATTTGTATGAATGGAAGTATATGAGGCGAAAAGGGCAGTGTGACTGCAGCTTTAGTGTCTGGATGACTGTCAGCTGTGTCAGGAGTGATTGGAGCAATGACTTCTGGGAGTTGTAGTTCAGTTTAGTGGCAGAATTGTAGTTTTCTAGCGATCTGAAACTGCTAGATTGCTGGTGATCATAACAATTATATTACTTAAAAATCATTAAGTATATATAACAGTTAATGTATGGTTATTTTATTGTACATTATAATTGTAATTAATGTCAAAATGTCATTTATCATCAATTATATATTATGTGTTATTATATTATATGTAGCAAAAAAAAATGCTTATTTTAATGTAAACAAAACGTTTACATTTTTTGTTATGTCCACATGCCTTCTCGTTCATTTCACTTTTTGTGTGTTGTGTATGACCTTGCTCATATACACAAATGAGTTGTGGTTTTATAGGGTAGCATTGCAATTAGTTATTGTTTTACAAGCTCGATACTAAAAATTAACTTATTCTTTCCCTGGCCACACCAAAAATAAACAAATAAATGAATAATTTGTTAGCCACAAATTTAAAATAAT